TTATTTGAAATCGGCAACGACTTAGTTGCCAACCTAATACATAGGACAGTTTCCATTTAATTACCACTCTCCCTGTGTGAGCACTAATGAGCTCATTCATGTCAATATCATTCCAATTTACATCATGATGCCAGTATCTTGGCTTTTGAAAGCAAAAATAAATGTAAAACAGGTCCCAGCTTGTACCAATATACGACTTAAATAAACTTCAATATTATTTATGAAGCAACAAGACTCCCTTTCAAAAGACGGTATCTTTAGTTGGACAAGTGGTGTATTGAACGGTCTCTTGAGAAGAGAAAGAGTTCAGTTTCAAGTCTAAAGTGTGTGTGTGTGTGTGTGTGTGTGTGTGTGTGAAAGTTAAATTATGCGTAAGCCCTGTATTAGGCACGTTTAGAGAGGTTTTCCGTTTTTTGTCGCCACTGTGAGCCACTCTGGCTGTTTAGACCGATCAGACAAATCATATGAACGCTCAGATGAATTTTAGCAGATTTGGGATGTACTGAATAGGGCGTCACAATGCAAAGTTCCCCCCTCCCCCAGCCACCCGCAAAAATCTTAGCTCTAACTGAATCGAATTTTCCAACAATTTTCACGGATTATTCAAGTTGTAACATAACAGGTCAACAATTACAACAGGATCAATGTACAAAACAAGGTTTCAAGGCGATTATCACATAGTTCATCATTTTCCTCACCCTTCGGTTTGTGTTTTACTGAAAGCTATATTCCTAAAATCCTGATGGGCAACCAACCCAAGAAGTTTTTAGAATATAGGAAAAATGTCAGCGCGCATGCATATCGAATAACAGGATGAACCGCATTTCCGAATTTGTTGGCAACCCTTTCCCAATATAACATTATAATGATGTTGTTTTATTTATTACCAGAAACACTGATCTTTTCAATTAAACTTTTTTATTGATTTATTGTAGAAAACGCCCGTGGTTTGTGAGGTGTATCAAACCTAACCCAGAAAAGAAGCCAATGACATTCGAGGACACGATGGTTATGGAACAACTTCGCTACATCGGCATCTTAGAAACTGTACGGATTCGAAGCTCCGGCTTTCCAGTTCGTCTTCCTTACAAACAACTTGTTCACAAGTGAGCACTAACTGTAAATTACTTAGAACACTCCCATTTTTACAATTTTCTTCCTCCAATTTAATATTGCTTTCCTGCTTAAGTGTGACCCAAACCTTAATATATGGAATGAGATAAAAGGTCATTAATTAGTAAGTTGATCTCAAATCTTGCGCCTTTTGCGGTAGACTCCGAATATAGAAATTGCACTCAAAACTCACATCAAAACGTCAGTTCCTTGACTTTTAATAATTGAATTTGAAAGTTAATGATGAGTTTTCAAAAAGCCTAGTCAAAAAGTGTACTTGTAAATCACGTCACTGTCTGTTCCCTCTGAGAGACAAATTTAATCACTATTTCGGCAAAATAACAATTCTTTAAAGAAATCGCATGGCATTTGATTTGTGCGTGGTTTGTTTATTTAATAAATTTAAAAGTCAAAGGGATGGTGGGGAGGGGGGGGGGAGTGAGCTGATTTATTTACAAAAAAAATGTGAAAATTTAAAAAAATATGTGGAAATAATATCGAAACGAACATTTCAATGAAAATATCAGTGATTACATGTCGATTGTGGATTAACTCTTTCTTTCTTAAGAAAATGATTAAATACTTGAAATCAGCGGTTGTTTTTGCACAAATTAAATATTGTTTATGAGACCTGATTTAAGATGAACGCAGGTGTTCGCCCTCAGTTTCTTGATTCGCTTGATGGTCTTTGCAGTGTTCTGAGATCAGCACCACCTATACACTCGAACAACTGGCTCTTCAATAACTTGGAAATATTCGCAAGAGCCCACAATTTAATCATTCATTGGATACTAAATTTTAAATGATTTTTTTTCGAAAGCAAAACACTCCGAGTTAATGTTGAGCTTTCTGATAAATTTTGATCTGCACAAATATAAGTTTTTTTAAGTCTTGACTTTATGTATTTGCAATTTACTGATATTTAAAGTCTTAACTACAACTTTGACATGATTATTTGGAAGGATGGCTGTCATACTTGGTATTGGTAAGTCAGATTTAACAATTTACACCAGTATCAACGTGGTAAATGTCAGATGATTGCAATGTGACTTTAACTTTTTACGGAGCAAAATGTTTTTTATTCATGAAATACCCAAACTTTTGGGTTCCTCCTGGTGTAAGAGACTAGATACAACGATCACAACATCCAATAGTAGTTTGATGATAACCATAACCTATCACTCGGGCTAAATTCAACTAATGGAATTTAATAAACTGTTATATCCACAGTTATTCCTCCCTTTTGGATCGCCAAACATTCCGTCAGGTAACCAGTATTCCCGACCATAAGCAACGAGCACAAGCACTGCTAGCCAACATTCATCGAATTTTCGGAGAAACTACTCCCGTCAAACTTGGTAAAGACTTTGAAATGGGCAAAACCAAAGGATTTCTACGACAAGAACTTGCTGACAAGTTGGAGAGTGTTCGTCGACGGCGCCATGTTCATGCCGCCCGAATCATTCAGCGAGCTTGGCGTAGAAGAGCTCTTGGACAACTCGATCGTGCTAGAAATAACGCAGCTACACTTATTCAAGCTGTTTTCAGAGGCTATCTTGCAAGGTACAGGGTTTAAAACTCCCCTAAAATGCTATCCTAGATAAATATCAGATTAATTACGGCTTCACTATTTTAGAAAGCAGAATCAGAAATTGTTGATGAAGATCAGAATCCCCGCTCCGGTATGTCAAATAGAGGCTTATTGCTTGCTTATATGGTTTAGTTTCATTGTGGTAGACCTTAACACATCTTTGTTTAGCTGCAATCCGGTGACTCGTCAGCGGTAATTTTAAATTTCTTGTAAAGCTTTCAAATAACTCACACCGTTCTCAGATATGATTGGTCGAAAGCCCTCGCTTCGATTTAACACACTCTCTGTGCTTTAATGTTAAGCGTTTATGCTGAGCTTGCAACAATCGAAAGGTACTAACGCGCTTGACCTATTAAAGTGTCTCTTGTTAGCGCTCAAGTGAGTAAAAAGCATTCTTTTGAAATAGCCAAAGTGCCTACCTGCCTTCTGGGTGTGTCGGTGTGTTTAATGAGTTTGGCTTTCTAACGATCATCGCTCTCCAAAATCCGATCTTCCATTTTGGCATTGAATTAGTGATGATGCTGATTCGTAGTTGAGTCAGTACAGTGAAGTTTAATTGACGAGCAGCAGACTTTAAAATCTTCGAAAACTTGGTCTTTCAATAATGCAATTATAAATGAAAATTGTCATCGCTATAAATATACGAATGAAACAAAACTTATATGCGCAGATAAATATAATGTGAGAAAAGTGTGACGAATATTGCGGTGTTTTCTATATTAGTAGAAAAAATAGTAAATTAAATTTCAATATATCCTACATAATTGTATGATTAAAAGGACGAGAAGAATTGACTGATGAGCAATATCTGTATCTTTCCAATTTTTATACATTTATTCAAAAAAGGCTGCAAATTTAGATGTTTTAATTATTATGGAGTGCCGCTACTAGCTCGTGTAGCAAATTAAAACAAAAAATTATAAGCCATCGAATCAATTAATTTCTGCTCATCTGAGCAATGTTCACGAAGTTCAGGCCTCGTCCACTCAATTATCGATCATTGACTTTTCACACATGGGTTATTACAACCACTATTGGATGGCTATTCAGTTTAATAGACTGTACTAAATGAAATAATATGAAGTGATCTTTGAAAGTAGCTGAAATTTGGGAGTAATTTTAGTTTTTACAAAAAATATGGCATAAACAAATAAGGAGATGTAGAAGGGATGTGTCGAATTGAATCACTTTGTCTATCTAATTAACTGGACTAGGTAGGTCCATCAATGAATCTTAAACTTAATTTGTGCCAATGCTGTTAATGCAATGAGACTCACTGTCTCGAGTTTAACCACAAGGACTCGCTCATTTCTTGATCTTGTAATTCTCACGGCAATAAAACGCGCTAACTATTGTCTGCAAACAGCTTAATAGTTGTAGAATCATTGATTAAAATCCCAGCATTAGTAAAATATATTTTTTAATTTTCGACTTGTGACTCAGGTCGTTAACAAGTTGAAGGTCATGTGATCGACAATAATTAAGTACATTCTATGAAGAGTATTGTTGGAAAAAATTGAGGAATTTCTGACTGGGGTAGCCTTTGAATGTTTCCTTTGAATGCAGAAGGCCATCAGTGAGAAATATTTCTTTGAATGGGGTCAAAAAGTTCCTAACTAACTCTCTTCGATTTAATGAAAAGAGAAATTCTTGTACAAATTAAGGTATTATTGAACTCATCAACCCCACAACACTAAGCAAACAACTTACTCAATTATAAACTTTTATGATTCCAAGTTTGATTAATTTAACCCCTTTTTTATATAATTACAGCTGATGTCTATGAGTGATGCGATTATGTGGAAGGTAAGATGTTTGCAAATGATAAGCCGTTTCACTTATTAATAACCGCTTGCAATAAAAGTTGGAACTGTGCTACATGTGTGTTGATGACGCAATTTATATCTGTTTACACTGTTAATGCTGATATTTTAGGAAAATGAGGATGAAATAGAATACGAGGCGCCTCTAGGTGATCAAGAAATCGCCAGCTTGCCAATTCCACAGGATCTTGCGTTTGTAATTGAAAAGTCTGGTCAAGGTACACAATTTTTTTTCAAGCTTTATGACAAAATAATAGGGTATTTGGAAGATCAGCAATACGTATGGTCTCTAATTTGCAGGTTTCTTTTCTAATCCCGAAATGGAGGTGTCAAAGACATACATGGTCAAACGTCTGATGACTAGTGATCTTCCTGGTTGTTGGACCCAATTCAGAGGTGATCTTTGGACTGCCCCGGCTATCACGCAGATTATTGCAAACAGTGGGTCAGCAACAAGCAAACATCTAGACAAGGTACGTTTTTCGAATGAATCAATTTGTATTAGTAGGATGCAGACCAGCTCTAAGCCAATTACGTTTATTATATCTAAGTGAAGTATCGCCTCACTTGAAGTAAAGCGAAGACTCTGTCAAATACGACGTTCATAGTTCATCCCACTGTTTCTATTGTAAGTGCTAGCAATCATACCAAGTATACTGGTATCAAACCAGTGCCATCCAACTGTAGTATTGATATAATACTTGCCGGTGCACACACTAGAACTAATTATGGTAAGATTGAAATTCAGATTTTAATAAAAGTGGAAGTGGGTAAAAGATTGTGAAGTACTGATGTTGTTGCTGAGTCAATAATACATGAAGTCGAGAGGAGGCAATTGGGCCAATTTTCTAATAAATTCTTATTATCGTTTCAAATGGCAGGCGTTTTGATAGTTATCATTCGCTCTTTAGCTGACTTCGGGCTTCACAGAGGGGAGGAGGAACATCAAAGTGACAAAAAGTCGATAGGGGGGGGGGGGCAGAATAATGATTCACAGATGTAAAAGAGCCACACAGACAGAGACAAAGGTAGAAAAAATGTGAATACTGTGGAAGCAGTCGAATAGGACATAGAGTGGGTGATGGTATTGGGTAGGCAACTAAGTCATTGCTGTTTTTGTTGACAGATTCACTCTATACTTTCTTTTGTTTTATTAACGTGGCCAGAGCATCTAACCTATATTTTTTCTTACTGTATGGGCTTCTAGGTTAATTAGTAAAAAATCTTTTTTATTTAGTTCTTTAGTTTTGTTTTTATCCCAATTTAAAAATGAAAGAACAGGACGTGCACTTCCGACACATTTTATTGTATTACTTCCGAAAAGGCAGGAACGCATCGCAAGCACAAAAGAAGTTATGTGCCGTATATGGAGATGAAGCCTTAAAAGAAAGGCAGTGTCGAAATTGGTTTGAAAGATTTCCTTCCGGTGATTTTTCACTGAACAATTCACAACGATCTGGCCGCCCAGTCGAAGTGGATGAAACCCATATCAAGACCATTATCGATTCAAATCGTCACAGCACAACACGAGATATTGCAGAGAAGCTCAATGTGTCGCATACATGCATTGAAGATAAAAATTAAAAACCCTTGGTTATGTCAAGAAACTTGATTTATGGATCCCTCACCAGTTAAAGGAAATTCATTTGACGCAACGGATTAGCATCTGTGATTCGCCGCTACTGAAACGCAATGAGAACGATCAATTTCTGAAGAACCTAGTTACTGGCGACGAGAAGTGGATAGTTTATAACAATGTTACTCGCAAGAGATCATGGGTGAAGCGAGATCAACCAGCCCAAACAGTATCAAAAGCAGAGATTCACCAAAAAAGATTATGCTGTCAGTCTGGTGGGATCACAAAGGAATTTTGTATTTTGAACTCATGCCGCAGAACCAAACGATAAATTCAAATGTGTATGTTGAAGAACTCGAAAAACTGAAGGATGCAATTGAAGATAAGCGGACGGCATTATCAAATCGGAAGGGTGTTGTTTTCCATCATGATAACGCAAGGCCCCCGCACACATCTTTGGTTACTCGGCAAAAATTATTGGAACTGGGTTGGGATGTTTTGTCACACCCACCATATAGCCCTGACCTTGCGCCTTCGGATTACCATTTGTTTCGTTCCATGCAAAACTCTTTAAATGGTAACATTTTTAACAACGCGGATGATGTCGGATCACACCTAATTCAGTTTTTAATAGCAAAGACCAGACATTTTACGAAGGGGGAATTTTTACTCTGCCAGAACGATGGAAAAAGGTCATCGACAAGAACGGCCAATATTTAATTGAATAAAGCTATATTTTTAAACAAAAATTCCGAATTTGCCTTCTTATTTGAAATCGGCAATGACTTAGTTGCCAACCTAATAGTTTGAAATCAGTAGTCAGCTGCCGATTAATGGACTTTTTTGCCGTATCAGTATACGTTGCACAGGGTGCACCACATGGAAGTAAGTCTATCGCACACCCCGAGTCTTATAATAAGTTGCATGATTGCTCCATTGGTCCTCGAGGGGGTTATGATATTTTTTTGTTGCATTCAACGAAGATTGCACCTTTTGTATTTTAGTATGCAGAATTGGTGAAAGAAGATAGCAAAGATAGCTTTGTTTGGTGTGAGGTACTGATTTTAGACTGAAATCTTCATTTCTTCTCTGGTGTTTACAAGTTTCAGTTTGTTATTATTATGGCACTCTATTCCATGGACGGGCATTTCATATTTCGTCAATTTTGCGCAAAACAGCTTTCTAAGTCATTACTTTTCATCGAGCCAAAATCATCTCCATTCATCATAGGTGTGGCGTCAATGGTATTCTCACGAAATATTTTGATTATTAAAGCCGATCTTTCATATTCATAGTTCCAACTTGGACAACGACAAGCTCCATTAATTCGACCTCTTATCCTAAATCGTCCAACTCAAATTGAAGGTGATATGGCTATTGAAGCTTCCAAACTGGTTCGTTACAATCTTTAAGTTATGATCCGAATTATTCTTGGCATAAATCTACTGTTCTAACTTCTTTTACCTAGATAACTAGACTGATTTACCAAAGTTCAGGCGATTTATTGGAAGAATTTTTGATCGGAAGCTATCTATATCAATTGGTAAGAAGAATCAAACTATTTAAGTAATTCATCCACTTTTAAGTAACATTTTAAAGGTTTTTAAATTTTTTAAATTTAATTGTACAATATTTAGGTTAAACAAAACTTTAAAGTATGTAGTGGTGGGTTAATATTGACAATTATGAAATTATAAATACCATTTCAGGCCCTGTCGAATTTTACACTATATCGAGAAATTCTCTTTCAAATGCTCAATCAAACTCTAAATTGGCCAATCAACAGTGAGTTGGATTACGCAACAGATTCAGAAGACGAGGAGATCGCTTTCAGCCATGAACGCAAAGATCTCATTCGCCAGAAATCAACTCGTTGGAAGTCAACTGGACGCACAGGCGTTCAAATGAAACGATCTCGAAATGAGTATAGTCACAAAACGGCGCAAGATGAAATGCGACGCAGTCATCGAAGATTGTGGATGCATATTGCCGGGAGTCTTACATGCGGTCGACTGCCAAAATCGCAGAGAGCCGCTGTTGTTCGGTTAGAATTAATTATATTATTCCATTGCATATTTATTGCTTCCATTCCCGCCTGTTCGAGGGATATTTTTCTGGAATAGAAGGGTTGGGGGG